TTTTTGGTCCTGTCATGGGGCCTGAACTCTGGGCATGGGCGCTGTCCCTCAGCTCTTCAGCTCAAGGCTAGCGCTCTACCACTTGAGCCACAGCGCCACTTCCGGCTTTTGTTTTTTTCTGCTTATGTGGTACTGAGGAATCGAACCCAGGGCCTCATGCATGCAAGGCAAGCGCTCTACCACTGAGCCACCTTCCCAGCCCACGAAGCATAGAATTTTCTGAAGCCTGAGTAGACTTTCAGGAAAGTAGAGTCTCTCGGAGAGCCCTGGTGCCATGCTCTCCATGTCTGCTCTCCTTTTGGGTCCTGAGTTTCATCCTATGCTTCTACCACAGTAGGTTGCTCCTGAGACTCGGGTGGCAGCACAGTGAAGAGGGAAGAGCTGCTCTACTTTTCTTCTAGGCTGGAGTCTCCCTGCTCAGCTCTTTTCTGCCTAGATCTCACAGAGGGTTCCATTTTCTTTCCTTCCTGAGGAATCTTTTATTACACTCTCCCCACACACGATGAGAAGTCTCTAGTACTGAGCTCTCCCCTTTCCTACTATTCTCCTTCAAACTTGCCTCTTTAAAGCAGTTTTTTTAATCAGCCACTTCGGGGCTCTCTGTTCAGGCAGCCTTCCTTTCCACTTGTAGCCAAATGACAAATATTTTGGCATAAAGTGGGGATGCAGGGAGTGGTTTAGGTACCACCTCCGCCCTTTCCCACATAAGGACACCAGATCAATTTTGTCTTTTCAGGAGTGCAACCTTTGTACAGAGAAATCTGCTGCATGTCACACTAGAGGCCCAGTGGGCCTTCCAGCCTGATATGGTGTGATGTCAGCTTCTTGGCCTCAGCTTTATTCCCTGCAGCTGACTCAGTATGAGTGACTCAAGCCTAGGGAGTAGGAGGAGAGGGCCAGCTCATACTATACCTCCCTCCCCGTAAGGCTATTAATGAGTCCACTGAGACCTTTCTGTGAGAGAATCGGCCAGAGCATTGCTCATAGAGCCAATGTCCTGCCTGCTGTTCCTTCTCTAGACAGATCAAGTGTAGAAAGTGAACCACGATGTTGTCATCAATTCTGGTACCTTCACTGCCTGCATTTTCTCTCACACTTCTACTGAAGTAGAAGAGTTGTTGCCTTAGGAGAGTGTTTCCAGGTGTGGCTTTTCCCTACAAACGCTCTTCAGCCCCAATTTTCCAAGTCAAATCTCAACTATAGGACCTCCAGTTAGAATAGAATTTAAAACATGAACCTGAATTAAGCCGATACTTGAGATGCTGGTTGTAGACTAAATCTCAGTGTCCATGGGTTTCTTGCCCTGGGAGCTTTCAGGACTTTGCCTTTTCTGTCCAGGCCCCCCTCCTCCTGCCATTTGTGTGCATGTACCACCCCTGCACCCTTACCTGGTAGACCTTGTTGGACAAAACCCACGATGGCCCTGCACTTTGAGTGCTACTGCAGAACTACTGAATGAGAGTTCACGTACCATCCCTGTCCCCAGTTTTGTTCACTGATACCAGCTAAGACACAGGAATGGGGTGATGCTTAGATTTTTACCCCTGGGCTAGGACTAGGACAGCTACTGCCCAGCTAATAATCAGCCTTCTCCAGTGAATTTAGGTAAAAGTGTCCAATTTAAGTAAGAAAAACTTGTAATATGCCCAATGTCAAGTGAAATAGCCTGTCAGGAAGCTTTAGAAGGTTTGATGGATATAAGATTGAGCTAGTCTTACTTCCTCTAGCATCCAACCCAGAGCCTCTATGTTCATGGGTCTTGTATGCCCTTGGCACATAGGCTCAAGTTGGGATTAGGCTTCCCAGGGTGATCCAGAAGCTGATTGGAGAAGAGGTAAATGTACTTGGCAAAGAAAGTTTAGCTCTTCCTGAGACTTCAAAAGAATTCTAGTATGGGGTCATGCTGCTCACGGAGTCCAGTCACCTCTCAGTGATCTTCATGAAGAAGGGGTTGGCTGAGAGCACGTGAGTAACTATAGAGGAAGAACAGGGAAGCTTAGCAGTACAGTTACTGCCAAAAGGGCCTGACTTTAGGGTTTAGTCCCCAAATCATTTAGGCAAGAATAGATAAGAATAAAGTGAAAAGGAGAGGCTGCCTTGTCTCCTCGGCCTTTTTGACTCGAGGTCTGAACTGTCCTTTCAGCATCCCACAAATGTCTAGAATTGGGCAAGTGGGATTTCTGGGTTTATGTGTCTTTCACTAAATTAGAACAGCACAAGAGAAGTAGTTATGGTCCAAGTTGGAGCTAAATTCTTTGCCTTTGTCTCTTTCCCTTCCCTCCCTGCCCCCTCTTCCTCCCTTTGCCCTCTGGCCCTTTCCCAGGAGCTCTCCTCCAGCACCGAGAGTATTGATAATTCATTCAGTTCCGTAAGTGGGGCCAGGCTGGGACTGGGGTGGCAGGCTCCCCCCATGGCCGCATTTCCTCTCCGTCCCAGGTCTTCTGAGCCTCCAGGCAGAGGCTAGAGTTCAAAGACCCCTTTAATTCCTGGGAGATAGGCTTCTCCCTTTCAGCCCTCCCAGCCCTGTAGGCATCTACAGGAGCCCAGGCAGACAGGCTGGGTTGATCCTGCTCTCAGAGACAGCTGGGCTGGATGCTGTGCTGTTCCATGCCAGCTCCTGGGTCTCAGGAACAAACAGCTGGGAAAGAGGTAGAAATCACTCCTGGATTAGAGCCAAAGACTGCTTGGCAGAACCCCCTGGGTCTTATTGCTCCCACCCAGAACTCTTCCCCATGGCTTCTGTCCTTGGACCACAACGTATTCAGCCAGTCTTCTAAATGGTAGACCCTGTGCTGCTTGGGAGCAACTCCAAAAGCAAACAGGACCTGATTGGAAGAAGGTTTTTGTTTTTGTTTTTGTTTTTTCACTTCCCCACAACTGGTGTTCCTTTTTAACTTTTCACCACATTTCTTCCAGGGCTGAATTCTTCCCTTTTCCCAGTTTACTGCCCAGGGTATTCTTTAATCCCCATTCTCCTTTCTTATCCCCTCTGGACTAACTCCTGACCCTCTAGACCCACAGTGTCTTGGACCTTATTGCTGGATAAAGACGTGAGAGGAAATGCTGGACCCTCTGGGAGTTTAAATGATTTTTTTTTCTATTTTTTAAAATTTTTTTCTATTTTATTTTTCTATTTTTTTCTATTTTCTTTGTCTACCCAATCAGTTTTCAATGTTCTGTGCTGCTCCCCTTTCAGTCATGATTGTTATCTCCTCCCATGTGGCAGAGCCTCTCTCTAGAGGCCTGGGGTCACATTTCCAACGTTGTCCTGTAACTTAGGGGTCACATTTCCAACATGTTGCTGTAACTTAGGGGTCACATTTCTGACATACTCATGTAACATAGAGGCCCCCATCTCAAATGCTGATTTGAGAATGGAAAGGAATTCTGCCCTTTATAATATGAGATGGCTATGAATTAGTTGGGCTGGAAGGTCCTTGGGATGGTGACTGGTTGCCACCTGAATGGATGGATTAGGGCTCAGATATTTCAGATAGTTCTCTCTCTTTCTCCTTCCCTCTCATGCTCTCTGTCTCTTTCTGTCTTTGTGTGAGGCTTGAACCCAAGGCTTCAGTCTTTTCTACTAAGCCCCCAGGATTCAAAGAAGTCCAATACTATTACCTTTCTTTATCTCTCTTCTCCCTATCCCCTAAATTTCTGACACTCTTTCATTGCTTACTGCCAGCCTCTCTTTTCCTGTCATGAGAGCTGACAGAGTTGCTGTTTCTTTCCTCTACCCTGGCTCTGTCCTATATACACAAGTGGACATGGTATACTGCTCAGTTTTCAAAAGAAGTCCCCTACCCGCCCCGCAGTCAAGGTAGAAAATCTCTATCAGAAAACTAAGCAAGGCACATTCAGAAAGAGAAAGAAAAGTCTGGTGAGTACAATGCTATTCCTGTAAAAGGAGGAGATACTTTGCTTATGTAGCTGAGGGGAGATAGGTTGGGAAGTTGAATGGCTATCTTGATAAAATGCCCCTTGGAATAGAAGAACTTGGACTACAGAGCCCTTCTTCAGGTCTAGCTAAGTCCAACTTTTTCCCCATCCTGTCTTCCCAGACTGACTTTGCCCTTTCGGGGGATGACTGAAGTGCTTAGCATAAGCAGCCTCACAATAGGGAGCTAAAATGGGAGCCTAGTTGCTGAGAGGTAGGGGAGGAGGACCCAAGGAGGAATTACTAGAGACAGTCTTCAGGGTCATCAAGACTAAAAATAGGCTACTGTTTTCTCCATTCATCTACCCATTCCTCCCTCCCTCTGCTTTTTCTTTTCCCCTTCACCATTCCCTCATTAATGTAGTTTTCTCATCCTGTGCATGTGCATTGATCTCGTGTTAAGAGAATGTGGGATGGTTGTGGAGCACCTAAAGTCACTTGGATGAAGAACACCTTCCTTCTTTGGAAGGAGAATATAGATGTGGAGCTTTCTTTCCTAATTTGTGGGCCCTGACAAAGCCCTTCAACAGGGATCCAGACCAAGGACTCAGATGAGGAGACAATCCTATCCTGAGACGAGGGAAGGTGTACTTCTCTCTGAGGACCTGTTGTCCCCTTGCCTGTCTTAAAGCCTTAGGACAGTCCTTGAGGACCTCAAGTTTAACAGACAAGGAGTGTATATCCCTTGGATTCCCCAAGGAGTAAAACTGCAAAGAAGGAATGCTCTACTTGTTCTCAATTCAAGCTGAGAGGGTTGGGTTAGCTCCTTTCCCAGAATTCTCTAGCTACTAGAGGCCCTGGTCTACTTAGCCAGGAGTCATTGAAGAGGGTGGGCTACTTTTTTCAATATCTGTTGGGTTTGTTGTTGTTGTTGTTGTTTTAACCCATCTTTTTTTTTTTTTTGTCTTAATCTTCTCAATAGCCTGTCCGACTGGCTCCTGAGCGAGAATTCATCAAGTCCCTAATGGCAATTGGCAAACGGCTGGCCACTCTCCCCACCAAAGAGCAGAAAACCCAGCGGCTGATCTCAGAGCTCTCCCTGCTCAACCATAAGCTCCCTGCCCGAGTCTGGCTACCCACCGCTGGATTTGACCACCACGTGGTCCGCGTGCCCCACACACAGGCTGTTGTCCTCAATTCCAAGGACAAGGTAGGTAGATTCTGACTCAGACCTTATCACTGATTTCACTGTTCACCCATGATTGCTAAAGTTTATGTATAAGCCCCAAGAATGCCCTACCAACATCTTAGATGCCCTTCATAGTTCATGGTACATGTGTCAACCATGACTGTATTCCGTCACTGTTGTGATCCTGAGAGCCCTCCTTCCTTGTTTCTTAGACTTTGCTTTTCTGAGCCATCAAGCCTAATCTTTCAGCTTCTCTCTTAACTATATCTTAGAAGAAGCACTCTCCACCCGTTCCTTACCTTCATTTTGATAGTTCTTCCTCAGTTCTTCTGAAGTTCTCAGGCTATCTAGATACAGCTACTATGAAGGTAGAGAAATGTTTCTAAGACGTTTTCTGAACAGTGTAGGCAGAGAGGAAAAAAGGATGCCCATAACTGGAGAAAAGTAACTGAATGTGCTGATTAGAATGACTACATCATTCCAATTCTTCTTTCATAGGAAGTATTAAAGATTAGAGTCCTTCTTGGGACTGTGCCAAGTTTTGTCCCATCTTTATGTCCCCAGCAGCTTCTAGGGCCCTGTCTTTAGGACAGGCCCACAGTTGTCATTTCTAGTTGGAATAGTTTGGTCCAATTGCAAAATCAGGTCATTTGAAGCCCAGCTGGAAAACTTGTTTTTTTTTTTCTCTCACCCAAATACTTTATGTAGGTGATCATATATGACAAGTTCCTGCCTTACTATGGTGTTCATGTATGAAGGTAGATGAGGCTTAGAGTTAGGAAGGGGCAACGGGAAGAACTGTGTTAACAGAATTGAGATTTAGGAAGTGGTGATAGAAGCCAGGCATTAATGGTGCTGGTAGCTCACATCTGTAATCCAAGCAACTCTGGGGGCTGAGATCTGAAGACACGGGTTCGAAGTCAGCCCAGGAAGGAAAGTATGTGAGAGTCTTATCTCCAGTTAACCACTAAATAACCACTAAATAAGCTGTGGCTTAAAGTGATAGAGCGCTAGCCTTGAGCAAAAGAGCTCAGCAACAGCACCCAGGCCCCATGACCAACAAAAAAAAGAAAGAGGGCTGGGAAGGTGGCTCAGTGGTAGAGTGTTTGCCTTGCATGCATGAGGCCCTGGGTTCAATTCCTCAGCACCACATAAGCAAAAAAGCTGGAAGTGGCACTGCGGCTCAAGTGGTAAAGTGCTAGCCTTGAGCTGAAGAGCTGAGGGACAGCGCCCAGGCCCAGAGTTCAGGCTCCACAACTGACCAAAAAAAAAAAAGAAAAAGAAAAGTAGTGGTAGAGGTAAGTTGCAAATACTGTTCTTACCTCCTCCACTAGGCTCCCTACCTGATCTATGTGGAAGTCCTTGAATGTGAAAACTTCGACACTACCAGTGTCCCTGCCCGGATCCCCGAGAACCGAATTCGGAGCACACGATCTGTAGAGAATCTGCCTGAATGTGGTATCACCCATGAGCAGCGGGCTGGCAGCTTCAGCACCGTGCCCAACTATGACAATGACGACGAAGCCTGGTCAGTGGATGACATAGGCGAGCTACAAGTCGAGGTGAGGGAGCTCCACAGGGGTGATACCAGGGCACATCCCCTGTTCTTCGGGAGCTTTCAAGACATGGGAGATCAGACAGTCTCCTCCCTGGTGGGGCAGCCAAGAGCCCAAATGAATGGTATAGATGTGAGAGGGACAATCTCTGAGCAGCTGATCTGGGTTAGATTCATGTGGAGCTTGTTCTCCTGAAGAAAGAATTCAAGTTAAATATAAGGAAGAACTTGTAGACCCTGGAGAGTGAGAAATTTCATGAACTTATTTATTGAACACTTGCTAAATAAAGCTGTTTTAAGCTAGCAAATACTGGCAAGCCATGCTTTCTTTCACAAAGTATTTTTTATATTGGACGTGGTGGCACATGCCTGTAATCCCAGCATGCAGAAGGCTGAGGCAGGAAGATCATGAATTTAAGGCCAGTTTGGGCTTCATAGCAAGACCACTTTGTCTCAAAAAAAAAAAAAAAATACTGAAGGAATTTCTGTGTGCCACACCTGAGTGCTATATGCCAGTGAATAAGACTTGGCCTCTGCTAAGTAAGCTGGTGGCTCACGCCTGTAATGCTACCTACTCAGGAGGCTGAGATCTGAGGATTGCAGTTTGAAGCCAGCCTGGGCAGTAATATCCATGAGACTCTTAACTCCAGTAAACTACTTAGAAAAGGCTGGAAATGGTGCTATGGCTCAAGTGGCAGAGCTCTAGCCTTGAGCACAAAGAAGCTCAGGGACAGCACCCAGGCCCAGAATTAATCCTCAGGACTGGCAAAAAAAAAAAAAAGACTTGGTCTCTACCTTCAAGAAGTTTATGACCTAATGCCGGGCGCTGGTGGCTCACGCCTGTAATCCTAGCTACTCAGGAGGCTGAGATCTGAGGATCGCGGTTCAAAGCCAGCCTGGGCAGGAGAGACCGTGAGACTCCTATCTCCAATAAACCACCAGAAAACTGGAAGTGGCGCTGTAGCTCAAGTGGTAGAGCGCTCACCTTGAGCTGAAGAGCTGAGGGACAGCGCCCAGGCCCAGAGTTCAAGCCCCACGACCGACAAAAAAAAAAAAAAAAGAAGTTTATGACCTAGTAGGAGAGAGAACAAGACAGTGCAGAAGATGGGACATTACAGGACCATCCAAGGGTGAAGATAGTCCTTTATTTGGAGTCAAAAGATTTCCTAGAAGACTTAGCGCTGGTGGCTCATGCCTATATTCCTAGCTACTCAGGAGGCTGAGATGTGAGGATCATAGTTGAAAGATAGCCTGGGCAGTTAACCAACCAGAAAACTGGAACTGGTACTGTGGCTCAAGTGGTAGAACGCTAGCTTTTAGCAAAAGAGCTCAAGGACAGCGCAGAGGCCCTGAGTTCAAGCCCCATGACCACCACCACCAACAACAACAACAAAAATTAGCTAGAGGAAGTGATCTCTTGGTGATGCATGAAGTATGGTAGGAATTAGCTGGACAAAGCTTTGGGGCATGGGGCTGGGAAGGTGGCTCAGTGGTAGAGTGCTTGCCTTGTATGCATGAGGCCCTGGGTTCAATTCCTCAGCACACATAAGCAGAAAAAGCGGGAAGTGGTGCTGTGGCTCAAGTGGTAGAGAGTTCAGGCCCCACTACAGACAGAAAAAAAAAAGCTTTGGGACAAAGGACCTGTATACAAAGACTGGAAGATAAGACAGTACTTGGCCCCTGATAAGAACTGAAAGAAAATTTGCATGCTGTGGGAGTGAGGTGAGAATCCCTGAGTAAGGAGGCTGGAGAGGTTGCCGTGAGTCATGGTGTAGGAAGGTTGCCATGAGTCATGGTATAGGGAGGATCTTGTGAGCTGTGGAAACTTAAATTTTATTCTGGATTATAGGGAACCAGAGCAGGATTTTATACAGGGCCTTAGCTGGTTGCCAGTGGCTCTAATCCTTGCTACTCCAGAAGCTGAGATCTGCAGATCATGCTTGGAAGCCATTCTGGGCAGGAAAATCCATGAAAAGCTTATCTCCAATTAACCAGCAGAAAGCCAGAAGTGCAACTGTGGCTTAAGTGGTAGAGCACCAGCCTTGAGCAAAAAAGTTCAGGGACAGTGCCCAGGCCCTGAATTCAGACCTTAGGACCAGTGTACATACATACACACACGAATCTCTAAATCTCTGTGTTTGAGTTTTCAATTCAGCTAGAGGAATTAGACATAGATATTTAAGAAGAAAAATTACAGAAGATATATGTATAAGGCAGCGTACATTAGGTAACAGTGGAGTAAAGGAGAGAAGTGAGGAGATAAGATCGGTTTAGATTGAACTGCTCAGAGAAATCTAGAAGAATTCTAAACCACAGGGAAGAATGAACCCTTAACCTTGAGGGCCTCTCACTCAAGATGAGGCTGAGAATTCAGCTTATGATCTTTGGCAGTGGTGTGCAAACTTTAGTATGTTGGGAGTCTCTGGAGACCTTTTGAAAAATTCAGACTTCCAATTTTCATTCTCAGTCATGCTAATTGAGATGGATGGCAGGACCTAGAATTATGCATTCCAGCAAGCTGCTCTGTCAGTTCTGAGACAGGTAGTTCACACTTTGAGAAACACTGCTGTGGGGTCCATGAGCATGCCCAGGCAGCTCAAGCTGCAAGTGGTTAGAATGGCACGGAACCATGGGAGGCTTACTCAACAGTCTGGAAGGGAGGGGTGAACATGCCGTGGTGATGGCAGGCAGAGTGACAGAGCTCTATGCTTAGTACCTCTGACCAGCACTCCCCTGCTCTCCCCAGCTCCCTGAAGTGCACACCAACAGCTGTGACAACATCTCCCAGTTCTCCGTGGACAGCATCACCAGCCAGGAGAGCAAGGAGCCTGTGTTCATTGCAGCAGGGGATATCCGGTATGGCCAGATCCCATCGCGCCTCCTTTTTTTTATCCCTTCCTAAGACACCGCTTCGTCCCCTTCCTCTCTTGTCTTTCAGCCTGTCTTTCCCTTTTCTCTACTTTGTCCTTGTCCTGAGGCCACCTGACTTAGGGCAGCGAAGGCATTACTGAAGAAGGCTGAGACAGTACTGAAACAGCTACAGGAAGAAATGAGATGTTAAGAGGGACTCTAAAGGGCGGGAGTAGCCAAGAAAGGAATTCAAGCAGTGTTTCTCAAAGTGGGGGACTGGCACCGTGATAGACTGCTTGTCTAACACGTGCAAGGCCCCGGGTTTGTCTTTAACACCACCACCAAAAGTAAATGAAGCCAACAACACACAAAAAAGTGACGTCCCAAAGTGGGACCTCAGAATCAGGTGGGAGGGAGGAGATTCTGGAGTCACATTCTAAATCAGTATTTGGGTAGGGGAATAGAGAGGACCAGATACCCCGAATTTTTATTTTATTTCCAGTAGCTGTGTTTCACCTCAGGGCCTCTGGTCAAGTAGAGATGGAATCTCACAGATTTTTCTGTCTTGGCTAGTTTCAAATCATGATCCTCCAGGTCTCAGCCTCCTGACTAGCTAAGATTACCAGCATGAGCCACTAGTGCCCAAGTTAGCAAAATGGTGCTGTAGATGGGGCTTTTCCTTCCATGCATCTCTCTCTCTCAGCATAGGTTTCTCTCTATGTGCTTAGAGTCCAGGACTAGTGCAGAGAATGCCAGCGTAGACAGGGCCTGAAGCTCTGGGGTAACTTCTCTAAACAAATGTGTTTTCTTCCTACTAGACGGCGCCTTTCAGAACAGCTAGCTCATACCCCCACAGCCTTCAAACGAGACCCAGAAGACCCTTCTGCCGTTGCCCTCAAAGAGCCTTGGCAGGAAAAAGTACGGTGAGTGGGAGTAAGGAGTGGTCTCTCTACTCTCAGAATTCCTAAGCGGTTTCAGGAACCCATCAGCCTCCAAAAGGTCCATCAGACTTCCAGGCAGCCTGAGTCCTCACTCTATCCAGTGACACTTTCTTTCTTCTTTCTTCACAGGCGGATCAGAGAAGGCTCCCCCTATGGCCATCTCCCCAATTGGCGGCTCCTGTCAGTCATTGTCAAGTGTGGGGATGACCTTCGGCAGGAACTGCTGGCCTTCCAGGTGTTGAAGCAACTGCAGGTAAGGAAAGGAAGGAAAGGGCCTCATCCCAACTCCAGCCCACCTGAATGACCACATAGATCCTCTCCCCCCACCCCCTCTTCTTCTTCTTGTCAGTCATGGGGCTTGAACTCTAGGCTTGAACACTGTCCTTCAACTCTTCAGCTCAAGGCTAGTGCTCTACCACTTTAGCTACTGCGCCACTTCTGGTTTTCTGAGTGGTTTATTGGAGATTAGAGTCTCAGGGACTTTCCTGCATGGGCTGATTTTGAACCACGATTCTCAGATCTCAGCCTCCTGAGTAGCTAGGATTACAGGCGTGAGCCACCAGCGCCCAATTCTTTTTTTTTTTTTTGGTCAGTCGTGGGGGTTGAACTCTGGGCCTGGGCACTGTCCCTGTGCTCTTCAGCTCAAAGCGAGCGCTCTACCGCTTAAGCCACAGT